ATGGAAAATGCTTCTGAATTTAGATCGGAACGAAGCGAACTGCACATGTCTAATCTACCATCTAACCTTTGACGTGGCCATCTTTAGCTCCAGAGACCAGCAAATCCTCTTGTACATCCAGGCACGTTATGGTCTTCATATGTCCATGAAAGATTCGGAGGCACACGCCGGTTTGGAGGTCCCACTGCCTGCAAGAGAATATATGGTGATATCAGGGGCGGACTGACAATTTGGAAACTCAGCACTGCCCGACGGCCCGGGGTCAGTAGGGGGCCCCATGAGATGCCCCTGGTACCTTTTTCATAGGCTTTTTTGAGTTTGGGCAAGTACACAGGGGCCCCATGATCCCCTATTGCCCAGGAGCCCCGTGAGTTGTCAGTCCGCCCCTGGGTGATATACAATGTACAGGTAGCAGGTGACACCCCCAAAGCCTATCCAAATGCCACCATGCTGAAGGACCCTTGCTCTCTTGATGCAAGATCTCTCTGCAGAGGTCAGACACACCTCTGACAAAGCTTGTGTTCCCTGCCAATTTGAGAAGTCTAGATGTGACTGGGCCTGTGGAAGCAGTGGTCTCCCTGCAGACGTCCAACACAGCCCCTGCGGATTTAGAGCTTGAGCTCTCCTCATCAGCAAAGCCTGTGCTCCCTGCTGATGTGAGAGCTATGTGACTCGGCAGGGGGCCAGTTGGACCTCTGCAGTGAGACCGCTGCTTCCACAGGCCCAGTCACATCTAGACTTCTCAAATCGGCATGGAACACAAGCTTTGCTGACTCAGCAGAAGGTGTGTCGGACCTCTGCAGTGAGACCGCTGCTTCCACACAGACATCCAGGGTCTTTCTCTGCAGCATGGGCCAGGCTTTTCTACTTTCTTTGATGAACCTTGAATATATTTAGCTGGTCTAAAACAAAAGTTCAGTTGGGCTTTAAAAGGACACAAAAATGTGTTTTAGTTATTGAATTTCTCTTTTGTTAACCTCTTGCCGCCCGTGTCACCCATATGTACGGCAGCAGAGAGGGTGGGATGTAATGCCCATGTGTGTCTGTGGACAGCCAAGGTTTCTGTGCTGAGAGCATGCTCACTGTGTGTTCCCAGCAGGGGTGTATTTAGCACAAGGCAAACAGGGCATTTGCCTAGGGTGGCATTTTTTAGGGGGGCAGCACTGCCCCCTGCAAGAAGGGGCATATGCGGTATGGGGACCAGGTGGGATCTGAGAGAGGCTGTGGGCTGCTTGATGGTGTATGCAGAGCCCAACTGTCGTTCCCGGAAATGTCCAGAGCTGTGAAGGTGATTGTCTTTCTTTCTGTCACTGTGGAGGGGTGTGCTAGTGGAAGGCTCCCTCGGGTGGGGATTGAGGCAGGGGTGGTCACTGCGTGGTTGGGGGGGGGTTTGGTGTTGGCTCTCACCCTGCCGGGGAGGGGAGGGGTGTCCAATTTTTGTATTGCCTAGGGCAGCACACAACCTAAATACACCACTGGTTCCCAGTACAGTGACCGACCTGCCTGACATCTCCTGGTCTCTAGTAATGATCAGATGCCGGAGGATCATGTGACCTCTGTGACAGCCATTGACAGTGGTAATGTGATTGGCCAGTCCCTCCTGTCCATAGGGTGTAAAGACCCAGTTAAAGGGGGCGCTGGGGCTGGACAGGAAGGGGTTAATTCATGCGGCGCTCCACAGTTGCTACCCTCTGGTTAACATCCTGGCAATGATACATTGTAATCACAGGACCGGATCTAGCCTGTCTGATGTGGGGGTGCTGGTACAAATGTCAGGGGGACAGGGGGTGGGAGATCAGCAGGGCAGTGTACAGGAGACAACAGAGTTGAGAACAGGGGTCACTGCTAGCAGGGCAGAGGATGGGGGTCACTGCTGGCAGGGCAGAGGACAGGGTCATTGCTGGTAGGGCAGAGGATGGGGGTCACTGCTGGCAGGGCAAAAGACGGGGGTCATTGCTGGCAGGGCAGAGGATGAGGGTCACTGCTGGCAGGGCAAAGGACGGGGGTCATTGCTGGCAGGGCAAAGGACGGGGGTCACTGCTGGCAGGACAGAGGACGGGGGTCATTGCTGGCAGGGCAAAGGACGGGGGTCACTGCTGGCAGGACAGAGGACGGGGGTCACTGCTGGCAGGGCAAAGGACGGGGGTCACTGCTGGCAGGGCAGAGGACAGGAGTATATTTGGAGTAATTCTAGCAAGTGTCCGCTGTCCCGGATATATGAGTGTTGAGCCTGTGCCAGGGGTTGTAGGAAGTGGTCGATATATTGGGAGAAACTGCTGGTAATGCTCCCTGTGGCCACTACGATTGGTCTTCCTGGTGGATTTTCTTACTTTGGGGAGAAAGTAAAAATACGGGATGTTGTAGAAGTCTTTAGATAGAAAAGAGGCTTCCTGCTTGGTGATGACACCATGAAGTAAGGCTGTGTTCGTTAGTAGTAGTGCGTCCTGTTTGAATTCGGGTAGTGGGTCTTTAGTTAATTTGGTATACGTGGATGTGTCTGAGAGGAGTCTGAGGGCTTCGTCTATGTAGTCAGTGGTGTTAAGAAGTACAATGCCGCCACCTTTATCGACGGGCTTGATAATAATGTCCTTATTGTTTGATAAAGTGGTAATGGATTTTTTTTGTGTTTGGTAGATTAGAGGAGGAATGGTGTTGGTTGGGATTGCACAATTTGATGAATTCCGAGTAGACTACTCTATAAAAAAACTTTCCAGGTAGGGCCCCTTAGAATGTGTAGGATTGAATACTGATTTGGGTCTGAGTGTAGTGTGGGCCATGGGTGGGGGGTATAAAAGTTGTGAAGAAAGTGAAGTGACTGTAAAATCTAAAGGTGTATTCTTATTACCCCCATCAACTTTTTTCACATAGCTTCTTCGATTTTCAACTGTTCAAAAATCTTTTATTAATGTCATTTTTCATTTCATTCATTTTTTTAATTTTTTCTTTCTTTTTTTAAATTTTTCATCATTTTTTTCATTTCATAATTTTTCTTTCTTCTTTTTTTTTCTTATTTATTACATCCTCTCTTTTTTCCATTTGGTTTCCTTTACCCCCCTTTAACATCCATGACTTTACACCTATTATTACTATTCACCTGACAACAATGGTCAATCACTGGTTAATTGGTTAATTGATCAATTAGACTCACGTTTCCTATATATTTACCCCTGTTCATCCACCTCCCCCTGCTTGAAAAAGGAGCGCACTTCCGCCTTCCACAGCCAGCGCATGCTCCGAAACGCGTCGCAGTGCACCCTGGGATCTGACGTCATCACGGCCACGCCGCCGCTGCGTTCCAGCGTGCGTTCCATCCGGCTCTCAGGGAGGACGTGCACGCCGGCCGGCCTCACCGCTGTTCCCCTCCAGCCACCACGCTGTTCCAGCCGAGAGCTGACCTCCCCACATCGCAGTAAGATGACGGCTCTTCACCCGGGTCACCACCCCACCGTTAACTATTGGTAACCACGGTTTTTATGCTTATGATTACTTCACACATGTGAGTGTTTCTACATTTAGACTGGAATAAAAAGACTTATTGCACTTAGAGGCGTCACTACTGGCTGGGCAGAGGACGGGGGTCACTGCTGGCAGGATAGAGGACAGGGGTCTCTACTAACAGGGCAGAGGACGGGGTCATTGCTGGCAGGGCAGAGGATGGGGGTCACTGCTGGCAGGGCAGAGGACGGGGGTCACTGCTGGCAGGACAGAGGACGGGGGTCTCTACTAACAGGGCAGAGGACGGGGTCATTGCTGGCAGGGCAGAGGATGGGGGTCACTTCTGGCTGGGCAGAGGACGGGGGTCACTGCTGGCAGGACAGAGGACGGGGGTCTCTACTAACAGGGCAGAGGATGGGGTCATTGCTGGCAGGGCAGAGGATGGGGGTCACTTCTGGCTGGGCAGAGGATGGGGGTCACTGCTGGCAGGACAGAGGACGGGGGTCTCTACTAACAGGGCAGAGGACGGGGTCATTGCTGGCAGGGCAGAGGATGGGGGTCACTTCTGGCTGGGCAGAGGATGGGGGTCACTTCTGGCTGGGCAGAGGACGGGGGTCACTGCTGGCAGGACAGAGGACGGGGGTCTCTACTAACAGGGCAGAGGACGGGGTCATTGCTGGCAGGGCAGAGGATGGGGGTCACTTCTGGCTGGGCAGAGGACGGGGGTCACTGCTGGCAGGACAGAGGACGGGGGTCACTGCTGGCAGGACAGAGGACGGGGGTCTCTACTAACAGGGCAGAGGACGGGGGTCATTGCTGGCAGGGCAGAGGATGGGGGTCACTTCTGGCTGGGCAGAGGACGGGGGTCACTGCTGGCAGGACAGAGGACGGGGGTCTCTACTAACAGGGCAGAGGACGGGGTCATTGCTGGCAGGGCAGAGGATGGGGGTCACTGCTGGCTGGCCAGAGGACGGGGGTCACTGCTGGCAGGACAGAGGATGGGGGTCTCTACTAACAGGGCAGAGGCCGGGGTCATTACTGGCAGGGCAGAGGACGGGGGTCTCTACTAACAGGGCAGAGGATGGGGTCATTGCTGGCAGGGCAGAGGATGGGGGTCACTTCTGGCTGGGCAGAGGACGGGGGTCACTGCTGGCAGGACAGAGGACGGGGGTCTCTACTAACAGGGCAGAGGACGGGGTCATTGCTGGCAGGGCAGAGGATGGGGGTCACTGCTGGCTGGCCAGAGGACGGGGGTCACTGCTGGCAGGACAGAGGATGGGGGTCTCTACTAACAGGGCAGAGGCCGGGGTCATTACTGGCAGGGCAGAGGACGGGGGTCTCTACTAACAGGGCAGAGGACGGGGTCATTGCTGGAAGGGCAGAGGACTATCATTTTTTTAGTGCAACTCTGTTAGTATTGCTGCCGGAGCTTTGCACAGCCGTTATGCTAAAAAAAAAAAAAAGTCCCACCTGATGCTGAGATCGAATCCCCCACTGAATATGAAGCCTCTTTCTTCACATAAACGGACAACACGAATGCTTCCGCTGTGCCCCTGAATGAGAGGCGGGACTTGAGCCATCTCCACCATATCGTATATCTTCACTTTCCGGTCTGTAGATCCAGAAGCAACCAGATGCCCCCCATCAAAATGGATCACCCTGTGCGGATCGCCTCTGGAGAGAGAAAAGTAATACCAGTCACATGTTTAGGTACGGTGGTCAACCAGCATAGAGGAGAAATTCTCCAATGGGGACACCTGTTCTAGTGACAACTATCTCAGAGGAGATCGTTGTGTCTCCAAGACAGGAAACAGAAAAAAACCTCTCCCCAATGGGCCACGGACTCGTGACCTCGTGTGCTGCTTCTCCCTCTCCCAGTCTGAGCTCTGCTGTTCATGGACTGCAAGAAGCTGATGGCAAATCAAATCCAGGTGCTCGCATTTTAAAAAAAAAAAATACATGTAACAATTTGTTAATAAATAATTTAAATAAATATTACATTTCAAGTTAAATTTAAATAAATAATATAAATCATAAATAATATTCAAAATAAAGTTTGAATAAATAATAAATAATTTAATAGGGCATTAATTTAAATATTTGCAAAAATTTGTTAATAAATGAAAAGCTGCAATAGTTTGTATCTTTTATATCTACCTGGATATAATTTATATGTAATATAAATAATAAATAATATTCAACATAAATTTAAATAAATAATTTAAATAATTTGTTAATAAATGTGTATCTGAAATAATTGGTGTCTTTTATATCTGCCTGGAGTCCAGCTTTAATTTCCCTGTTGCAACCACCAACAGTAATTGATTGACAAGTGAGACTTACTAATAGAGAGCAATGGGTTAACAGTCTGGGAGGTGACTTACTGTCCAGTAAGAATGAGAACATTGTATGATCCACAGAAGATGTTTCTTTCCTCCAGGAACACCATCTCAGTCTCAGTATCAACATATGCTGCTTCCACACTTTCTCCGGGCTGCGGAACAAAACACATGAGAAACCACAGATGACCAAGGCCCACCACCATGCTTCACAGTGTTTTTTTGGGGTTTTTTTCCCTACTGGAAATGGGTATAACTACAGTTCATAGTACATTAGCCACACCCCACTGGTGGTCAATGAAAGACGGGCTTCCTTGTGCTAGTGATCAATGGAAAGAATGTCCTGGTATAGTGGTGGTCTGTGTAGGGCCCTGTACAGTGGGGGGCAGAGGGAAGAATGTTCTTAAAGTGGTTGTAAACCTCAGACATGAAATATGAACAAAGCATATCCCTCTATAGTGTGTACTTATCTCCATCCAGAGCACTAAGTGCCATTTCTGTCTGCTGCTTCCTGCCTCTGCTATCAGCATGAATCACGTCTGACAAGTTTTCCTGACATCAAGAGAGAAATGGTGACAGCAAATTGTCAGCCTCAGCTCTCTCCCTGTGAGCTGTGTGGAGGGGGGGGGGTGTCCCCTTCTCTCCAATCAGCTTTCAGAGCTCCCCTCCCTGACATCTGCAGTGTGTCATGCTCCTTACATTGGTGGTCGGTGGGAAGAATGTCCCTTACATTGGTGATCAGTGGGAAGAATGTCCCTTACATTGGTGATCAGTGGGAAGAATGTCCTTACATTGGTGATCAGTGGGAAGAATGTCCCTTACATTGGGGGTCAGTGGGAAGAATGCCCCTTACATTGGGGGTCAGTGGGAAGAATGTCCCTTACATTGGTGATCAGTGGGAAGAATGTCCCTTACATTGGGGATCAGTGGGAAGAAGAATGTCCCTTACATTGGTGATCAGTGGGAAGAATGTCCCTTACATTGGGGGTCAGTGGGAAGAATGCCCCTTACATTGGGGGTCAGTGGGAAGAATGTCCCTTACGTTGGGGGTCAGTGGGAAGAATGTCCCTTACATTGGGGGTCAGCGGGAAGAATGTTCCTTACATTGGTGGTCAGTGGGAAGAATGCCCCTTACATTGGAGGTCAGTGGGAAGAATGTCCCTTACATTGGTGGTCAGTGGGAAGAATGTCGCTTACATTGGGGGTCAGTGGGAAGAATGTCCCTTACATTGGGGGTCAGTGGGAAGAATGTCCCTTACATTGGAGGTCAGTGGGAAGAATGTCCCTCACATTGGAGGTCAGTGGGAAGAATGCCCCTTACATTGGGGGTCAGTGGGAAGAATGTCCCTTACATTGGTGATCAGTGGGAAGAATGTCCCTTACATTGGTGGTCAGAGGGAAGAATGTCCCTTACATTGGTGGTCAGAGGGAAGAATGTCCCTTACATTGGTGATCAGGGGGGAAGAATGTCCCTTAAATTGGTGATCAGGGGGAAGAATGTCCCTTACATTGGTGGTCAGAGGGGAAGAATGTCCCTTACATTGGTGGTCAGGGGGAAGAATGCTCCTTACATTGGTGATCAGTGGGAAGAATGTCCCTTACATTGGTGATCAGTGGGAAGAATCTCCCTTACATTGGTGGTCATTGGGAAGAATGTCCCTTACATTGGTGATCAGTGGGAAGAATGTCCCTTACATTGGTGATCAATGAGAAGAATGTCCCTTACATTGGTGGTCAGTGGGAAGAATGTCCCTTACATTGGTGGTCAGTGGGAAGAATGTCCCTTACATTGGTAGTCAGTGGGAAGAATGCTCCTTACATTAGTGGTCAGTGGGAAGAATGTCCCTTACATTGGTGATCAGTGGGAAGAATGTCCCTTACATTGGTGGTCAGTGGGAAGAATGTCCCTTACATTGGTGATCAGTGAGAGGAATGTCCCTTACATTGGTGGTCAGTGGGAAGAATGTCCCTTCCATTGGTGATCAGTGAGAAGAATGTCCCTTACATTGGTGGTCAGTGGGAAGAATGCTCCTTACATTGGTGGTCAGTGGGAAGAATGTTCCTTACATTGGTGATCAGTGGGAAGAATGCCCCTTACATTGGTGGTCAGTGGGAAGAATGTCCCTTACATTGTTGGTCAGTGGGAAGAATGTCCCTTACATTGGTGATCAGTGAGAGGAATGTCCCTTACATTGGTGGTCAGTGGGAAGAATGTCCCTTCCATTGGTGATCAGTGAGAAGAATGTCCCTTACATTGGTGGTCAGTGGGAAGAATGCTCCTTACATTGGTGGTCAGTGGGAAGAATGTCCCTTACATTGGTGGTCAGTGGGAAGAATGTCCCTTACATTGGTGATCAGTGGGAAGAATGTTCCTTACATTGGTGATCAGTGGGAAAAATGCCCCTTACATTGGTGGTCAGTGGGAAGAATGTTCCTTACATTGGTGGTCAGTGGGAAGAATGCTCCTTACATTGGTGGTCAGTGGGAAGAATGCTCCTTACATTGGTGGTCAGTGGGAAGAATGTCCCTTACATTGGTGGTCAGTGGGAAGAATGTCCCTTACATTGGTGATCAGTGGGAAAAATGTTCCTTACATTTTTGGTCAGTGGGAAGAATGCCCCTTACATTGGTGATCAGTGGGAAGAATGCCCCTTACATTGGTGGTCAGTGGGAAGAATGCTCCTTACATTGGTGGTCAGTGGGAAGAAATGTCCCTTACATTGGTAGTCAATGGGAAGAATGCTCCTTACATTGGTGATCAGTGGGAAGAATGTCCCTTACATTGGTGTTCAGTGGGAAGAATGTCCCTTACATTGGTGATCAGTGGGAAGAATGCCCCTTACATTGGTGATCAGTGGGAAGAATGCCCCTTACACTGGTATTCAGTGGGAATATGATTCTTACATTGGTGGTCATTGGGAAGAATCTTCTCTTTACAGACAGTGACCACAATCATTGGTGTCAATATTTACTTACCTGAGAAATGAGAGGAGAAGCTCCACCGATCCTATTTGAGTGCTGAGTGGTCTTGGTGATAGAATTATGTGGGCACTATCAGGCAGGAGATCAATCCATCACTGTTTAAGGAACCCCAAGAAACCCCTGGAGAACCCCTAAATTTCTACGGAACCCTGGTTGAGAAAGGCTGACCTACACTTACCTTTACATCTTTGTAACACTTCTCCAGTCTTGGTAGAACACTGCCATCCTCTCCGACTTTGGGCACTGGTACTGGTGGCACTTTAGCATAGGAGATGCTGACTCCTTTGTAGGATGTCCCCTGGGATGAAACAAAAATGACAAGGCATAAAGAAAAAAAGTCTTTCATCTTCAAATGTAGTCAAAGAGTGAAACCTTTTCAATTCTTTCGATTCACGACATAAGTGATCTCAAGATTACAGTACAAAAAAGAGAGGATGATACAGGAATGTAGAGAAACATTCACAACTCTGGACTGTGGCTTGAACTACAATTTTTAGTTGAAGATATTACCTTTTACAGCAAGGACAGTTTTCCTTCAACCCCCTGGTCTAACGGCCTTCCAAAAGGACTGTTACTATCACCACCTCACCAACTGGAGTGTACTTGGACTTCTTTCTAAATGGGATGTAAGGTCCTCTAAGTTGGGGTACCACCCTGAGGTTGTTCCTCCAGTCACTAAGCTAGGATATACTTATAAGCAGTGGTGGTGGAACGACTGGGCTTTTTGGTGGGCAGTGGAGCCACAGAAGGACCCTTCTTCTCTAAAGCCTGCACCTCAGCATGTATTTGCTCATTGATTCGAGCTGTGTACCACCCAACAAGAGGGAACCTCATATTTATGGGAAGTTTGTGTAACGTGTAGGCATTGCTCTCTCCAAGGGAGCTTAGTTATTTGGAACTTTACAAAGAGTATGTACCAGAGAAGTAAACGAGAAGTTTAACACCCTCCAGGTTGGTTATATAGGACTTATTGTTAGATAGAGGCTGAGCAGCAGCTTGGGATGAGTCAGCCTGGGAGTGAGGCAGGAGTTCACCTCAGGACAGACTGGAAGGTTCTACAGGTCAGGGCCTCTGAAGCCCTCCCAGCTTTCCAGAAACTAGAGACCTTTCTGGAACCGGGGAGGAGGCCCAGATCTGCATGTTTGAGGGACCCTGGCCAATCTCCTGGCAGGAGGCTTGGCATGATGACCAGGGCAAGCCCTCAAATATGACAGAGCCTGGTGAGCAAGGGGAGTTGGGTGGAAGATGGATTTAGAGAAGGCTGGAGTGTGGAGCCTGGGAGGGGGCCCCAGGGATGGCAGCCTACCTACAGGCTGGCTTCTGGACGGGAGGATCTTTACTGCCTTATCGTCTCATTGGGAGGACAACCTGTTAGCAGGAAGGCAGCCACCAACCCACCAGGGGAGCAGGTGAGGACAGTGTGAGTACTCCAACGCCCCCTAGGTCAGATAAGGGGAGGGGGTGGTCAGGTGCAATACCCAACTAGCTCCTCATCTGCTTAATTGCAGGCTTCTGGGACCTCTTACCCAGGGATACCCTCAGCACAGTGGCAGAGAGGAAAGAGCTGGGAGGAGGTGAGCTGTGTTGTGTTATTTTGACTGTCCCTCCTGAGTCCATGCAGCACATGAGACACTGATAGATCATATGGGATTGCCTGCACACACGCACAGTATGATTACCACCCCCGTCCACATTTCCTGCTGCCCAGAGATCAGGAGTCCTTGGAGGAGGTAGGGGTGGTAATCATACTGTGTGTGTGCAGTCCCATACGATCTATTAGTGTCTCATGTGCTGGATGGACGACAGAAGGGAGAGCCCAGAGAACACAACACAGCTCACCTCCTCCCAGCTCTTTCCTCTCCAGTTTTTCTACAAAGTGTAATGGGGATTTTGGGAAGGGGGGGTGGTATTTGCTAGGGGGAATAGGGGAAATATGTGCTAGTGGGGGAGGGAGAGAGGGAAGAGAAAGAGGGAGAGAAGGAAGAGAAAGAGAAGACAGAGGGAGAGAGAAGAGAGAGAGAAAGAGGGAAGAGAGAGAAGAGAGAGGGAAGGAAGAGAGAGAAGAGAGAGAGAGAACGAGAAAGAGGGAAAGAGGGAGAGAGGGAGGGAAGAGAGAGAGAGAGAAGAGAGAGAAGAGGGAGGGAAGAGAGAGGGAAGAGAGAGAATAAAAAGAAAGAGAGGGGGAGAGAAAGAGAGAAGAGAGAGGGGGGAAGAGAGAGAGCAAGAGAGGAGAGAGAGAAAGAGAGAGAAGAGAGCGGGAAGAGAGAGAAGAGAGAGGGAAGAGAGAGAAGAGAGAGGGAAGAGAGAGAAGAAGGAGGGAAGAGAGAAGGAAGAGAGAGAGAAGAGGGAGTGAAGAGAGAGAAGAGGGAGGGAAGAGAGGGAAGAGAGAGAGAAGGGAGAGGTAAGAGAGAGAAGAGAGAGGGAAGAGGGAGAAGAGAGAGAAGAGGGAGGGAAGAGAGAGAAGAGAGAGGGAAGAGAGAGAAGAGGGAGGGAAGAGAGAAGGAAGAGAGATAAGAGAGAGGGAAGAGAGAAGAATAAGGAAGAGAGAGGGAAGAGAGAGGAAAGAGAGAGGGAAAAGAGAGAGAGAGAGAGAGAGAGAGAGAGAGAGAGAAGAGAGGGAGAGAGAAGAGAGAGAGGGGAGAGAGAGAGAGAAGAGAGAGAGGGAAGAGAGGGAGAGAGAGAGAAGAGAGAGGGAGAGAAAGAGAGAGGAAGAGAGAGATAATCATATACAAACACACTGAATGAACCTCTCGTGCTCTCATTGGGGGGGGGGGGGGGGGCACACAATTTTTGTGTTGGCTAGGGCAGCACAAAACTTAAATACACCACTCGTTCTTAGAAGGCTTCAATTCGGGGGGGGGGGGGGGGTGAGCTCGACACGTGACTGGGCTCCATGATGTCTCTATGGGCAATGTCTTTTACAACTAAGAGATATTCTGTTCTATTCCATTCGTATTTATATTGTGTTCTTTTCGCTCCTACATAATGTGTCAATATGACATCTATTTGTTGCCATGATTTGTTATTTTCTGTGCTGTGTTTCTGTACAAGGTGTCCTGATGACTTCATGGACACCATCCAGTGCAGTAATAGGACTCGCGGTTCTTTGACAACAACTTTGTTCCACCCCAACTTAATGTATGTAGCGATGCCGTTGGATTTGATTGGGTCCCCCCTAAGTTCTGCATGGCCAGGCAACATGCATTTTCCACATCTTCACACACAGAGTCAGTAACACGGTGCTTGAGTCTTGTTTTTATTAGGGATCAACAACTCAGATGGGGTCTAGGGGTATATGGGATGCCCAAGGAACTGAAAACGTAAGGACAAATGTAGCAAACTCTACAAAAATGTGGACTACAAAGGTAGCAACTGTCACTTTTAGGAGCACTGATGTCCCCTTTGGTGTACCTCCTCAGACACCAGAGGAATCCTTCCTCTTTCACTCAGCTGTCTCAAGGGTATCCTTGGGCAAAGGATTCCAAAATATGCAATTAAGTAGTCCTGGATGAGAGCTAGTTGGGTCTTTCACCCGACCGCCCTGTCCGTTCTCTGGCCCAGGGGTTGTAGAAGTACTCACACTGTCCTGTAGCTTGATGGGTTGCAGCTGCTTTCAGGCCTTATGCTGGGCTAGCTTCTTCCCTGCTGACAGGATTGTCCCCCCTAGGACCAGTGGAGATCCTTCCATCCACCACCAGCTTGTAGGTAGGCCCCCCTCCCAGGCTCCACACTCCAGCACCTTCTCTCAGTCCATCCTCCACCCGACTCCAACACTACCCCTGCCTCTCTCACATGTAAGGGTTGCTCTTGGCCACCATGCCCAGCTTCCTGCCTGAGGATTGGCCAAGTTCCCGTAAACATGCATCTCCAGCATCAAATTTTAATGGGAAAAAAAACATTTAAACTAAATGATCCACCAGTCGTGATGTTGAAGGCCCCCAACCTGAAGGATACTCCAACACCTTCTCTCAGTCCACCTTCCACCCGACTCCAACACTACCCCTGCCGCACAGCCTCTCTCACATTTAAAGGATTGCTCTTGGCCACCATGCCCAGCCTCCTGCCTGAGGATTGGCCAAGTTCCCGTAAACATGCATCTCCAGCATCAAATTTTAATGGAAAAAAAACATTTCAAATAAATGCTCCACCAGTCCTGATGTTGAAGGCCCCAGCCTGAAGGATACTCCAGCACGTTCTTACAGTCCATCTTCCACCCAACTCCAACACTACCCCTGCCGCACAGCCTCTCTCACATGTAAGGGTTGCTCTTGGCCACCATGCCCAGCCTCCTGCCTGAGGATTGGCCAAGTTCCCTTAAACATGCATCTCCAGCATCAAATTTTAATGGAAAAAAAAAAAAACATTTCAACCAAATGATCCAACAGTCATGATGTTGAAGGCCCCTACCTGAAGGATCATGGCTTCATTCCGCACCAGCGTCTCGGCTTCTAGATCCAGGAAAAGCTCCTTTGTCACATAACACCAATGATGGGACACAAACAAACAGCTAAAGAGGTGCTTCTTCTTCAGGTACCCTGCCAACAGAACGAGACAGAAGAGGGTGACAACGGTCCAGGGAGAACTTAGAACACAGAGATTTTCCATCTTGCTGAAAACACAGCTAAGTTCTCTACAATGGGGCAATTCCTACCAAATGATCATTCGTGCCATAAATGAGTAGCTCTGGTCATCTCTACAGTCGTCTGCATCAACATAAGTCCCTACGTTTGACAATGTCCCTCATCTTCTTTGGCCACTAAGATGTGTTCCCGAGACTTGGAGTATGTTCAGTTGTCAGACCATCGGGATTATGGGAAGAAAAAATACCACAACCGTCATTTTCTCTGTATTGCAGGCCCTGGGCTTGGAGATGAGGAGCATTTCCCTCCAGGCCACTATCGGTGAAGATACCGATCAGAGCAGCACAGAGATTGACTGACCGGGATTCTAACCCTTCCCCACACCATCCTACACCGGATGGAGATAAAAAAATTAATTTCTTTCCGATTCGTTATTGAAATAATTTAGTTTAGTTAAATTAGTTTCATTCATTTTATTAGAATTTTCCGAATTCGGTTGGACTGAGTTCAATTCGACCGAATTTGGAAAATTCGAAACAGCATTCAAATTCAGATGTGTTCTATTTGAAATTCGAATTTCAGAAGATGGTTATATTCTACTTTTCAAATGTTTTAAATTTGATTCAAATGCAATTCGACCGAATTCGAATTGGCATTCAAATTATAATTTATTCTATTCAAAATTTTTATTTTCCGAAGATGATTATAATTTTTCTATTTTATTCTATTCTATTTTATTGGGGTTTTTTTTACTCTATTCTTTTCTTTTCTTGAATTTTCTATTCTATTATAATTTTTTCTATTTGAAAGTCAAATTTCAGAAGATGGTTATATTCTTTCTATTATATTTTATTCTTTTCTATGTTTTTTTTCTATTCTGTTCTGTTCTATTTTTTTCTATTCTATTCCAATTTTTTCTATTTGAAAGTCAAATTTCAGAAGATGGTTGTATTCTTTCTATTTTAATCTATTCTATGTATTTTTTTCAATTTTTTTCTATTCTTTTCTATTCTAATCTATTCTATTCAAATTTATTTAAAATTCGAATTTTAGAAGATGGTTATATTCTTTCTATTATATTTTATTATTTTCTATGTTTTTTTTTTCTATTCTGTTCTGTTCTATTTTTTTCTATTCTATTGCAATTTTTTCTATTTGAAAGTCAAATTTCAGAAGATGGTTATATTCTTTCTATTTTATTCTATTCTATGTTTTTTTTTCTATTCTTTTCTATTCTAATCTATTCTATTCAAATTTATTCTAAATTCGAATTTTAGAAGATGGTTATATTCTTTCTATTACATTTTATTATTTTCTATGTTTTTTTCTATTCTGTTCTATTTTTTTCTATTCTATTCAAATGTATTCAAATTTCGGAAGACGGTTATATCATTTCCATTTTATTCTATTCTATGGTTCTTACTAATAGTTTCTATTCTAATCTATTCTATTCAATTCAAATTTCTTTTAAATTTGAATTTCGAAAAAGTTTTTATTCTTTCTATTTTGTACTATTCAATTGTTTTTGCTATTCTATTCTTTTCTGCTCTATTCTATTTCATATTATTTTTCTAGAATATTCCATTCTAATCTATGCTATTCTTTCCTGTTTTGTTCCTTTATTTTTCTATTCTATTCTATTCTTTTCTATTCTATTTTTTTATATTCTATTCTGTAATATTCTATTTCAGACAATATTTTGTTTCATTATTTCAGATTTGTTACTATTGTAATTTGTAAATTCAGATACATCTGAATCTCCAAACAAAAAATTCATCTGAATTTAGATTCAAAATGAACTAAACCGCACATGTCTAGTGCCTAGGTCTCCTGTCTGGTAGGCCCAGCTGTGGCATGGCAGTTCATGGACATACCCAGGATCTTCTTCGAGAGGTGCACAGGGAGGCAGCGGATGAAGTCTTTGTACTTTCTGACTCCCGATGTGGACTGGAAGGAAGTGGGGACCACCATGAGAGACGGGTCATCTTGTGTGGAGAAGTCAATCTCTTCTGAATTTCCCATTTCATCACCTCCGAATGTTTCCTTCTGGGAGTCTGGAGAGGCAATTCCAAAAAATCTGACCTGTGATTGGGTCTCAGGTGGAGTGGTGAACGCATGAAGTTACAAACTCATACAAGGCCAACCAGATTGCTAAAACACGAGTGATACTTCAGCTTTTGATGGATATCAGCAGATAAAATCTAGCTTCTCATCTGTGTCTTTCAGGGTCTTCCTGGGCCCCAACTATGAGGGAGTCTCATTTTCACTGCTGAAATGTTCTTTTTTTACAATATACAGCGGGTGGAATGAGACTCCATGGCACAAAATCCCAATGGAGAAATCTCGAGGTCCCGATAATATTGGATGCTGGATTGTAATTCACCTAACGGGAGGCCACCCATAAATGGAATATCAGTTCTAGTATGCTCAGTTTTGGATCCAATGCTTACCCTTCCACATTGGTTCTAAACCAAAAGTTCTCAACCAACGGGCCATGGCCAACTGCCAGACCGCGACTTCCCCTCTTCCAAGCCTCCAGCCAGCTTTAAACTCCCACAGTGGCCCCCAGATCTCATAGTTCCCTACCCCAACCTCCTATAGTGGCCTACAGTTTCCTCAGGCCCCTGACAGGCCAGCCTGCTGTAGAGCCTCCAGCCTTCCATAGCGCCCCTAACCTCTAACAGTGACCAGGATGCCCTCCAATCTCCCATGGTGCTCCTCAGCTCCCATAATGCCCACCCCCCAAACTCCTATAGTGACCTACAGTGCCTTCTGGCCCCTGAGAGCCCATAGTGTCTCCCAGCCTGCTGTAGAACCCCCAGCCCTCCATAGTGTCCCTAACCTCTAACAGTGACCCAGAGTGCCCCTCAACCTCCTATAGTGGTCTACAGTGTCCTCAGGCCCCTGAGAGCCCATAGTGCCTCCCAGCTTGCTGTAGAACCCCCAGCCCTCCATAGTGTCCCTAACCTCTAACAGTGACCCAGAGTGCCCCCTAACCTCCTATAGTGGCCCACAGTGCCCTCAGGGCCCTGAGAACCCACTGTGCGACCCAGCCTCCCAGCCTGCTCTAGAGCCTCCAGCCTTCCATAGTGCCCCTAATCTCTAACAGTGACCCAGGGGGCCTTGCAACCTCCCACAGTGCTCCCCAGCTCCCATAGTGCCCCCTCCCAACCTACTATAGTGGTCCACAGTGCCCTCAGGCACCTGAGAGCCCACAGAGCTACCCAGCCTCCCAGCCTGTTGTAGAGCCTCCACCCCTCCATAGTGCCCCTAACCTCTAACAGTGACCCATGGCACCCCCCCCCAACCTCCCACAGTGCTCCCCAGCTCCCATAATGCCCCCACCCCCAGCCTCCGATAGTGGCCTATGGTGCCCTTGGGCCGCTTAGAGCCCACTGTGCCACCCAGCCTGCTGTAGAGCCTCCAGTTTTCTATAGTGCCCCCCAGGGGCAGACTGACAACTCATGGGGCCCCCCGGGCAATAGGGGATCATGGGGCTCCTGTGCCCTTGCCCAAACTCAAAAAAAGCCTATGAAAAGGTACCAGGGGCATCTCATGGGGCCCCCTACTGACCCCGGGCCCTTGGGCAGTGCCAGAGTTTCCAAATGGTCAGTCCGCTCCTGAGTGCCCCTAACCTCTAACAGTGACCCAGGGTGCCATCCAACCTCCCACAGTGCTCCTGAAGGGCCTTACGCAGCAGGCTGACAACGGTGCAGCTAATTCAGAGGCAGCGGCCTAGCGTTGTCAGCCTGCCGCAGGAAGTGCTGTATCTGTCAGGAGCTCCAGGAAAGAAACTTTTTTATTCGATTGATAAGATGATTTGATTCAGAAAACTGTATATAGGGAGACATGATACATAATATAGTAGAATGAAAGATTTTGGGGGTTACATACACAATAGCGATCTGGGTGGGGGGGTCTAATGCTTCTGCCCCCCCCCCCCCTCTCGGGGGTGGCTATTACCGATACTCCGGGGTACGGCTCAGCGATGCTGGATGGGGTGAACGCACGAAGATAACGTGTCAGTGGAATATTGGCCTCTGGCAGTGAAACTTGGTCTAGCAGAAAGGTCTGCGGGTCAGGAGCTCATCAAACATTCATGGGCCTATAATATCCGTGACGAATATGGCGAGGAACACCGACCGATCGCTTTTCATGCCGGCAAACCTCTGCATGCGACAGGCGCTGCTCCTGTCCTGGATTTGGCCTAGACCTGTTCAGTGTGGCTCCGTTCACACTCGGGCGATTTTCAGGGCAACTTGATGCGACTTTGGATCGGCGCGACTTTGGCCGAGGATGATTGGTCGTGACGTACAAAGTCGCACACGGGTTGCATGTACATCATTCAGGTGTGGCTGTCAAGCGACTTGAGGGCCATAGACTTCAATGTAAACCCTTGAAAGTCACAACTGAATGATATACATGCGACTTGTGTGTGACTTTGAAAGTCGGACCAAAGTAGTGCAGGAACTAATTTCAAGTCACTGCAACTTGAAGTCGCACAGCTATGAATGGTACTCATTGGGTCACATGGGGCGCAACTTGTCATACAACTTTGAACCCCAAAGTCGCATGACGAGTCGCACAAATGTGAACGGGCTCTAAATTTACATCAATAAATTCCTGACATGTCATAATAAACGGCAACAGTATCATTGTTGAGAAAAGCTCCACCTATTATCAATTAAAAGTCATTCTTGAGCTCCAATCCAGTGACTCTGCCTAGGCTGAGATGATGTCATCAGTCAGCTGCAGGCAGAGGAAGCATTTCCTCAGTCTCCTCCCCCCAGTGATCAGACTGTATATTGTAACTTTGTAGAAGGAGGAGGCATTTCCTCAGTCTCCCCTCCCCCAGTGCTCAGACTGTACATTGTAACTTTGTAGAAGGAGGAGGAAGCATTTCCTCAGTCTCCCCTCCCCCAGTGA